AGAGCTTGTATTGTTTTGAAATACATCAAGGCTGGCATTGGACGGCAGCGTAATGTAGAACCCTTCATTTATCTCCATGGCTGTAATGAAGGACTGAGCGGCGATTCTGTTTGCTTTTATACATCTTGGATTTCGCCTGCATCAACCCAGCTGTTGAATTTTTCTGGCCAATTATGCCAAGATACAAACATTTGTTTTTTCCCCCTCACCACCCGCCTTTTTAGAATTTTCTCGACTTGAAAAGCCTTGTCCTTGGATATCTGTACTTTTTGTAACTCTTTCGCATAAAAAGTCCCCTTGATCTCTTCTCCATCATAATCTTTGAGTTTGTAAACAGGTGGCTGTCGAGGTAAGCCTTCAGACACCGTAAATAATTCGTCCGTATAACTCTGCTCATATTTTTTATCGAATACTCCTCTCAATTTGGATATCCTTACAAGCTCCCCCTCCTTAAAGTTCATTTTGACAGCAGCTTTTTTACGAAGGCTGGAGGGGTTATATAGATTCCGAAACACTTGAGCCGCATTCTCCTTGGTTACCTGCAGTGGCGTCATTTTAATACTTCGGTGATAACTATTATTGTAACTTTCAAGTAGTTCAGGTAAGACGTCTATATATCTATGAGTGTTTTTAGCTGTAAAATACCTCCACATTTTAGTTTTCAGCGTACGATTAAATCTCTCTATCACACATGCCTTCATATCACTGGCGGTTGCATAATGTTGTATACCTCGTTTCTTCATTAAGTTTTGAAAAACTTTGTTAAAGAATTCTTTCCCCGCGTCTGTTTGTATCTTTTTAGGAATCTCACTGTGTGTTAAAATTGTATCAAAGGCTTGGGCAACCTCAATACCCGTCTTCTTCTTTAATGCCTGAGCATAGGCTTTTTTCGAAAATACATCTACGACTGTTAACAAATAATTAAAACCATCATTATATTCGGACAGCGACTGCATATCGCAGAGATCTGCTTGAAATTGCTGCAGCGGCCTGAGTACGAAAACTCTGTTTCTTACAAAATGCACCCGAGCCGGCTTATGTAAAGTATATGCATCCTGCTCAGATAAATATTCTCTGACTTTCTCTACATTTACTTGTTTACCCATTTCATTCTGTACAGCTCTATGGAGTTTATCCACACCTCCTAAACTCCCTGGATTAGAAGGAGTGTAATACAGCCTTTGCATGACACGTTTCTCAGACATGTTCCCTGTTACAGCCCGATGAGGTAATGAGTACAACAGTTTTTCTTACAAAGCATTTTATTGATATGTCACACATGTATAAAAAACATGTTAAAAGAAGTAAAATATAAAACATACTTTAACGAAAAAGTATCAAATTTGTTTTTCCTATTGCTGCCAAAAGACCCAAGCTGCTCTTATAGTCTTCAGACGGGTCTCGTCGTTATCTACCAGCTGGTCGAAAATCTTCTTCATTTTAGCCTCAAAGAGTCTGGTGTTTCTGAGATTGTGCAGAATCGCCTCGGTAGCTCCAAAGACTCTCCTCTCCGACACATGAAGCTGGCTCTGGTGTAAAGCGTCCCGAATGGCTGGAATGAAACGAACGGTCCACAGTCTCTTTATCACATCGTCATAATTTATATCCAGAAAGTAATCTTGGATCGGAAACAAACACTCGTGCTGCCTCTGACTGGGGTGAGCGATTCGACATCCGTTACATGTTTCCTCTCTGTACAGTTGCATGACCCTATCCAGCAGATGAGCTACAACAGCTTTTACCGTATTCAGGAACGAAGCTGTCCTTTCACATTCTGTAGCATGAACCTCTGGAACACAAGTATAGCATGGCACATCAACGCCTACTACTGTTGATTCCCCTGGAGACTCGGATGGAGGTTGATGCATATCCAGCCACCCCGTGATATCAATATCAGCCATATAGCTGTCGAGATCTGGTGTCCAGATTGTTGGAGATAATGGAGGTCCTACAGGCGTTTGCTCCAGGCTGCAGCTCGCGGTGAGAGAGTTGTTTTCTTCCAGATCCATGGTTGCTGCTCACAAAATGTCCTTGAGGTGTTCTCATTTTTAAATGATCTGGCGAGGAAAAGGCGGGGCTTGTTATGTTAAGGGAAGGCGGAGCCCTCTGTAAAAAGTATTTTGCAGTCAAACCGGGGAAAGTCTGTCACTTCCTCACAGAGCCGCTCCTCCAACACACATGAACGCGCATGACCAAAAGAGGGCGCGAGATAAGTTTGTGCACAGACCCCCGCATTGCTGCTGATGCATTCGTTTGACTGACGCTCCGGACGGATGCGGTAAGCTGACTGATTAACCCCCATTCGAGGCGTCTCTTGGCCATTTTTCTTTTTTTGAAAAGGTGGGTAAATGGAATTGCTGTCTTTTTAATTAGTTTGCGCATATTTCTAATTCCACCCCCCACTATCTGCCTGCGTCATAGCCCGGAAGGGGGGAGAGGCTAGGAGGGGGCTGGTAGACAGTCTCACCTAACTTCAAGAGACACCTAAATTAACATCAGAGGCTTATAGCACCTCATAGATTAGACTTCATAACTAGATTATACAACTCTGAGGGGATAGGGGCCAGACAGCATAAAGAGACTTAATCAACACCTAAATTAACATCAGAGGCTTATAACACACCAGTGTGAAGTCACACCGGTCTGTTATAACACCTCCCGTCAAAGGACTAGACTTCATAATTAGATTATACAACTCTGAGGGGACAAGGGGCCAGACAGCATCAATAGACTTAACCAACACATCAAAGAATTAGACAACAAAGGCGCTAGCCCCGGGGGTTTTCACATGATACACTTCAAAAGGATCTCTAACAAAGGCACTACACAGGGGGGCATTTCACACCTACGTGTGATGATACCTCACCCCTCACATCAAAGGATCTCACACCTACGTGTGAATTCACACCTAGGTGGGACATCCACCGCGAACAAAGGGAGGCGGGACTTAGCTCATTAACATAAGTAGGGAGAGGTGTGACCTGTCACACCACCTGTCACTTTTCTTGCATACTAATGTGATTGAAAGGGCATGTGTATAACTACTAACATGTTTTGCTTACAAACAAGAAAAAGGGAAGCTAGACTCTAGATGTGAGCAAGGGGTTTTCATTGGCTATGATAAAAACAGCCCAGCTTATCTGGTGTATTACCCAGAAACAGAGAGGGTGCAAAAGCACAGGTGGGTGAAATTCACAATCAAAAGCGCAAAAGAAAAGGAAACACAAACATGAACATCTGAGTCACAGATAGAATGTCGTCATGAGGATGCACACTCCAGGGCCGTAGGCAATGATATAAATGTAGAAAATGTATCAAGTCATGGTATTCAGATTTGTGTGCCTGAGACTTTACTTGAAGAGACTGAATGTACACAGCCGAGTGAAGCCACAGAGACTGTAACCAAAAGGTATCCACAGAGGAACAAAAGGAGACCAACTCATCTACGGGATTTTGAGACTGAGGATGCAGAGGACAAAGCACAATGGACTTTTGCATGGACTTTTGCTACAGAGCAGTCTGTGATATCCCTCAAACCTACAATGATGCCATAGTGTCAGCAAAGTCAAGGCAGTGGAAGAATGCCATGGACGTCGAGGAGATACGATCTCTGGAGGAGAACGAGACCTTCCACCTCACCCAGTTGCCACCAGGTAAAAAGGCAGTGGGGGGAAGATGGGTCTATGCACTCAAAAGTGACATTGATGGAACAGATAAATACAAGGAAAGATTTGTAGCAAAAGGCTAGTCAAAAACTATGAACAGACTACAAAGAGACATTTTCTCCCACAGCTGATATGACAAGTGTAAGAGTACTCATGCAGAAAGCAGCACAAGAGGGACTCATTTTACACCAGATGGACGTTAAGACAGCCTATTTGCATGCACCCATTGATTGTGAAATCTATATGGAGCAACCAGAAGGCTATGAAGAAAAGTCAGTAACCGGGGAAAACCTAGTTTGTAAGTTGCAAAAGTCTCTCTATGGCCTTAAGCAATCAGGTAGAAACTGGAATGCTATGTTACACACATGTCTGCGAGAACGGTTTCATACGAATCCAGCTGATCATTGTGTAGAGAGAAACATGGTGAAAAGGTCATCATGATTGTATGGGTTGACGATCTGATCATAGCAGCAAGCAACACAAATGTACTGGAAGGTGTAAAGATTATGCTTTCTGAAGGACCTGGGAAAGTTGAAACATTTCCTGGGAATTGATTTTCACCAAACAGAAGGTGAAGTTAAAATGTCTCAAAATAAATATGTAGGCAAAATCCTAGAGAAGTTTGAAATGCAGGATTGCAAGGCCAGGGGGACCCCATTACATCCCTAATACAACAACATTAAGATGGCACTTTCGGATACTAAAGACAATATAAAAGAAAGTCAAAAACAAATTGAGCATTCTTTTACTTTCTTGCTATCCGGTGTGCATTTAAACGATAAAACCACAAGAATACTATCTAGCTGCAACACAAGATGCAAAAACGTAGGCCAATCCTTACCAGTGTAATGAATACACACATTTTTCAAGACAGAGTTTAACCAGTGGGGTAGGCCATGTTGTGTGGCGTGAATTAAACAGTTATGATTTACGTATTATTCCATTGCCTATTATACAAATACAACTGTTATTTCAGATCCTTACATATTTTCAGTCAAGGATGAACACCTTTCCAAAGCAAAACATATTTCCCCCGGAAGTCACATCAATGCTTGATAGATACTGTTTATACTCACTTTATTATCACTTTGCATTCTAACCATCTGAATCTTTGCAGAATGTTCAATAGGATTTTATTTTAATTTGGAAACATATCATCCCTGCTGAATTGTTAGCAAGAAAAAGAACGCTTTAGCCACACTGTTAAAATACTTCCATACACATTATTCTAGGAAGACTCCTTTTAACCAATGATATATGGACACTTGAGAATGATCAGGTTATTTTTCAAATAATGTGACATTTTATAAACAGGAATAAAGGAATCCAATGTTGTTTTTTAAAAAACTTTTATTTATTTTCAAATTCACACTTAAATTAAGATAATTAAACACATCTTGAATGTTCCCTTCAGTAAACACATGCTTTGTTTGTACTATTACCTACAATTGTAACTTAACCTGGGCTGTAAAAGCGTCATTTCTACCAGGTTGCAAAAGTAATAGCGTGACACACAAACACACATAAATTCTTTTTTCACAATACACACACCAAATTTACAAAAACAGGATTCAGTTTGTGGTTTTGACATAGGTCTAATATATATATATATTTTTTTTTTTACTCCTGGGTCATTTTTAAAATAAGTTTTATTTATTTATTTTTATGCTCCCTCTTTATTATTACCCAAAGTTGAAGTTTCTAAGTTTTCTAAGTTCTTTTTTCTAACAAAGGGTTGCATCATATGGAAGGGTTTACACCCCCAAATTGTAGCTGATATTTCAAAACATTACCATTTTAAATCCTCTCAGTTTCTGGTCCTTTACCAGCTACATGGCATAAAGCTAACACCAACTAACACATTTAGACTGAGCAGAAGCCATTTTTGAAAAAATCTTGCAGAACAGAATTTCAATCCCTAAGAATTATTGTCTTAAAAGCAAAATATTGAAAGCAAGCAAGCTTCCCTCTGGATCAGTGAAAACACAATGATATGGGGGATATTTCCTGCTAAACTCCATCCAAACCTGGATCAGTATCACAATTTCACAGCAGTGGACTTCACTCTTCTTTACTTGTCCTTCTATCAAGGAAGAAATTGAAACGTGTTATTGAGGCAGACATGCAAATCAACTTTGAGCGATAAAGAAAAAAGAGGTTGACAAGTGTTACACTAATGACAACACATTGTGAATTATGAACTTTTGTTTTGAAAAATAACAATACCTTCTCTTGTTGGCCAGCCACATCTGAGCCTGTGTAAAGTGAAAAGAGAAAAAGTTATAAACAGAAGTAAAAAAAAAAAAAAAGCGGTAATATTTATTATTATTGTAAATACACATGGACTTTTGAATGAATTATTTGTTACCTGAGCTGGTGAAGGTCCAAGAGACAAACTTGATAAGACCGTAGAGGACTACCGCTACACCGACCATTCCCATGGAGTCCTCGATGGAGGGAGTACTGAAACCTTTAAAGACAAAATAACAAAGTCATAATTGATTCCAGTTTATATGATTTGTATCTTTGTTATCAAGCTTGATTCGAATAATTAATTCAACCTATAACATTAATACTTTAAAAATTATATATTCCAACAGAGCCATCATATACAGTATATTAGGTGTGTTACAAGATTACGTCCATATTTTATATTGTCTATGTTTTGTTTTAATGGCCCACAGCGGGAAATGACCATAACCTAGCATAATGAGCACCAGTCTCTTTACAGCTTAAGTCAGAACCATAAATATTTACATCAAATTAAGATATTCACGGTGTGATTTAAGGGTTGTGTGATATAAATGAATACAAGTTTACTTAATTGGATATCAATGCAGGTAAAGACATTGACGGCTCATTAAACTTATTAGAACAGTTAAATACATTTAAAAATGGTATCACCTATCTCTAACGCTGTCTTTAAAAGCAGAAAATACAACATGTAGGCCCGGGATCACCAACTACATTTGTCCAAGGGCCAAAATGTATCCAATAGACACTATCGCGGGCCAGCGATTTTTATATAGTCCAGAATTTTGAAGTTGTAGACCGAGGGGGGGGGGGGTATTGAGTGTTCTTGTTCTGTAATCAGTTACTAAATACTGAATACATGGCTCTGAAAGTAATCAGAATACAGTTACGTGTCTTAAACGTTGGAATCGGGTCTACTTTAACGTATTCAGATTACTTTTAGAATACTTTTGGAATACTTTCTTTTTCCATAACAGATGGGTATGTTTTGGTGAACAGGAGACATGTATTTTACTGTTTTAATGGCTTTAACTCAAACACAACATCTTGGTGTCATTCTGGACAGCTCCCTCTCATCTGCACCACACATAAAAAACATCACCCGGACTGCATTCTTTGTACTGTCTTAAAACCTTTCCTTAGAATATGTTATGAATTGTAAGGTGTCCTTGGGTGCTTTGAAAGGCGCCCCTAAATAGAATGAATTATCATTATTATTTATTATCTGAAACGATGTTATAACTTTTAAAACTTTTTCCAGTCACTTGCCCCAGGCATTCAGCAGCAGCAGGCCATTCACTTTGATTTGATCCCGTTATGAAATGTCATCATTTCGACAATAAAGAAATGCTACATAAACGTTATCTTGCACATTTTATCTAACCATCTCCGTTTCTAACTTTCAATATATTTTAAAAGAGATCTCTCTCTCATCTGCGTGCGGGGGCGGGGCCTCACAGACACGCTGCATCTCTCTCGCTCACAGACACGCTGCAGCGCCGTGCAATGTGCACACAGCTCTGCCGGTAATGAATATTACATTTTGAGGAAATTTTTCCACCAATAATTCCAATAAGTATTCCAAAATGTATTCACTTCAGGTTTACGAAAGTAACTGTAATCAGATTACTCGTTTTTCAAATGTAACGCCAGCTGAATACAGTTAGCCTACTTGATTTTTGTATTCTGATTACGTAACGCCGTTACATGTATTCCGTTACAACCCAACCCTGCTTCTAGGCTACTGTCCCGCAGCTCCTGCCTCTCTGTTGGACTCTGTCGCAGCAGGGCTACTGCTGTGGTGCGGAGCGCACAAACCAGACTCTTCACAACGAAGGATCACTTCTTCTTCAAGGCAGGGAAGGTTTTGCAGTACGCAATCTCTGTCCCGCAGCTGCTGCCTCTCTGTTGGACTCCGGAACTGCACACAGTGGTGACTGCGAATGCAGTAACCACGCCGCAGTCACCCCCGTCGTGCGGGCCGGATGAGATTGTCTGGCGGGCCGGATGTGGCCCGCCAGTTGGTGGTCACTGATGTAGGCTATGATTTATCATAATAACCATAATCCCAAAAGATGGTCTCATATAACGCTATCATTTTTATATTAATATATCTGCGTATGCTAATTGACACATTATAACTTTGGCAATGTTCAGAAAAATCACTAACCGGCCTCCATCTTGTTATGGTGTAAAAGTTTGAACCCCTTGTTGCCAAAAGAGCTTGATAACTATCGGAAACAACAACTTTTTTTAACATTACCGATGATATTGAGGGTCACGCTGGCCTGTCTTTTGCCTCCAAGATGGACAGCGACACAGATGACCTCCCCTCCTCGGCCCAGGTCTAGTTTAGTCGTGTCAAGCTCCAGCCGGCTGCTCTGGCTGTAGGTTCCATCCCAGGCCTGCCTGTGGCCCGTAACGCTGCCTGATCCCAGAGGCCTGGACTTCCCATCGATGCCTTGAAATTCCCAGCTCAGTTCCAGGGAAAGGGGGGCAAAGCCGGACGCCTCACACTGAGCAGTCAAAGTCTGGCCTTGAACAGCGAGGGGGAGAGGGGACGGGTAGATGGACACAGAGGGAGGTTCTGGGTAGAAGGAGGAACAAATGGAGGAGCAAAAATAAGAGGAAAGCCATTAAGAGAGGTGAATCATAATCCTTTTTTTTTCCCAATGTTGTTTGCCATCAGACAATATACAATTACAGGCTTTATGTGACTGTCAACAATGACTAATAGTTAGAGATATAACTTATTCATAGAGCAGAGGCATGCAGGTGTGTCTCCAAACACACAACATAAAGCAGATACATTTCCCCTTACCTACAACTTCAAGCTCCAACGTCACCTGAGCCACAATGTGTGGTAGATACACCGAACAGATATACATCCCGGAGTGACGCACTTCAGCTTCCTGAAGTATCAGAGACGCATTTCCTTTCTCGTGCAGTCCCTCAAAGTCCAGTGTGGCCCCTTTCTCTTTTGCATCAGCCAAGCGGTCTGTTTTCCCGTCGTAGGCCAGAACCAATCGTCCGTCGCCTCTGAACTGGTAGCGCCACTCCACGGCAAAACCTGACCCGGATAGAGGCGAGGAAGAGTCGACCCAGAATCCGCAATCCAGCAGCACTGGTTCCCCGAGCCTGGACTGCACTGACACCGTGTTGCTGGTCACACTGAGGATCACTGAGCAAACAGACAGTGAGGAAGAGAGAGTCAAACTAACACATATGACATACGATTCAATTACTGACCAACTTAATTATATATTTAATTAATTGTGTATATATATCGAATAATTATATATTTGAGTGTATCTCTAATTGAAACAGACATATTGCCACGGGTAACAATTTTTTGTGTCATAAATCATTACCATTGTGCTCTTTAGTTGCTGTTGGAGCGCGCATGATCGTGGAAATGGCCACCTGTTTGTTGAGGCCCTGCAGGGAAGTTGAAAACCAATCAGCTTCCAGGTATATGGGGCTTAAGCCGGAGTCTGTGAGTGGAGCAACCCATTTGAGGTCGGAGGGCTGCGGTGAGAAGGGGTTGATCTCACACTGGGGCTTCTCCACCGAGCCTCTGGGAGGGTTCAGAGAGTGGTGGCAGAGCGTGGCTGCTGGGTCTGAGGAATGATATTTTTGAGGGAAACGTGTATGTTTTGTCATTGTACATCTAAATCAGAGATGCTCACTCTGCTTATTTGTAAAATAAATGGAATTTGACAAAAGAATGGTAGCTTGATCTAAAAAGGGACATGAACAAAATCTAAAAATTATTAATTAATCCGAGAGAAGATGATGATTGAGAAACATTTCAGGTCTGTTTAAAGGATTTTGAGAAATTAATATTAAAATATTTTAATAAATATATCATATAAATAATTATGCAGTCGCTATCAGAAAAACTTGAGTTAAAGACTAGAACAAAAATACAATAAATTAAGCAACACTGACTGAACTCATATCTACAGTGTATACTCTATTATGAAACAAAGCAACTTTAAAGAGAAAGTATATAAGTACTGAAACTGTAAAAGAAACTAAATGGATAGTCTGGATCCTGAGATCTGATTCACTGCATCTGAAAAAGTGCAATGATGTATAATAATAATGATATGGACCAATAGCTCTTATATGTCGCTGGAGGCTTATAACATTCTCAAATCAACCCTTAAAACTCATCTGTTCAACATCGCCTTCCAACAATAACTCACTCCCCCCCCCCAGTTACACTTCCATTTCTGCCCCCTGTTTTATGTTTATGTTTTTTATGTCTTGTCCTTGTATGTTTCTTTGTAAAGTGACCTTGAGGTTATGAAAGGCGCTATATAAATTCAAGTTATTATTATTATTATTATTATTGTTAGGGAAATAATTGTCCTAGACTCCTAGATATGACGTACAGGACCAACCCTGACGTCTGTTTATCTCCTTTAAGGACATAGGCTGCTTCAGCCATAATGTTATTGTTCCCATTCTGTGACCGGTCAACACTAGGTCACAGATGGTCTTTGTTGTGGGTGCACTGGGACACTTCCTTCTTTGTTGTTTGTGGACTCCAGGGTATGACATATTCGAGGCCATAAGTGGCAGAAGCAGGTAACTCAGTGTGCCCAACTGTCTAAAGCTATCTTATCAAAATATGTTGATTACTCTCTGTGAAACCGGTTAAATGGGCTAACAAGAGAGAGGCGCTCTATAATTGACGTGGCAACCCACCCGTGCAGTCTCACAGTGACTGCTGTGAATTGTGATGTGAATGCTCCGGCCGAAACTCCAATAAATCATCAGTGTTTTGACATCAAAGCTCCTGCTCTACCTTGTCTCCTTCCTGAGTCGGTGACTCCCATGCATTGCTACACAGAAGTTTCCTCTACAATTATAATGGACCTTAAACTAAGACTGCTGACTTACAGAAAACGGTATAGGCCGTTAGTCATTTTGAACTAACCGGTGATAGAGTAGACTCTGTCGGGGTTGATGTCAGATGGAGCCTGTTGGGACTTGGTTGTGTGGCTGTGTGCGTCTGTCCTGATGTGAAGCAGGGACTTTTCCTGGCTTGTAGCTCCAGTTAAACCTCCTCCTCGACCAGTTTTCTCCTGAACAAACCAGCACTCCAACACTGGACAGCTGCTGCTGCTGCAGGCTTTAGATTTAGGAAGGAATTAACAACATATATATTTTCTAAAACAGTGTAACATAGGAGAATAATAGCACTGTTTTCTCAATTGTAAACCCAAGCTGTTTGTACTTTTCATTGGCTACAGTGCAACATTCCCCTAATTTTAACAATTTAATAATTGTGTTTTCTTGAGATACTTTTTATTATTTTACTCAAAAATGTATATTGTAGTAGTAGTAGTTATATTAATTTAAAATATTATGTCAAGCATTGAGGGATAATACGAATCAAACCCTAACAGACCAAATAAAAGTAAAAGTTGGACTTTCCTCTTCCTCTTCCTGTTGGTCGACTGGTGTGTCTTACTTTCATATTCATCCTTTTGTCTTGCTTTGCATGTCAATGTTTGAACTTTAAACAACAATTATCTGTGTATTGTTATTCTTTTCTATACATTGTTGCTCTAAAACCACTTTGTGTAACAGTTTCGGCCATGCACACCAAACTCCCTTTAGAAATATAGCCGTATTTAACATAATATTATGTTAAAGTAAAACAATTAAGGACAAATAGGACATTTTACAGTTAGCAATGCACATTAGTGTGCCCAACTGTTTCACTGAGTTAGGGTTACTTTATTTACACAGGTAAACACACATCAGGGCCACAGATAGATATACTGCATATTCATAAACAATTCTTTTTGGTGTATTGGCCAAAAACAGAGCAACAATATCGACTAGTACTATTAGTAAATATCGACGGACACAGTAACCTTACCTTTTATGAAGCAGATAAAAGTCACCAGGGACAGTTTGTAGATTGTAGACAACTCAGTCATGATTGTAAGTCTTTTAGGTTCTGTCAGGTCCTCTTTGCTGCTATCGCACTAAGAAAAAATAGTGTATAATGTGGGTTTTCCCCCTCAACTCCGGGTTCATTTTGGTTTCACTTTGACGTGCACCGTTCCCTGAAGCCAGAAGCTAGCGGGGGAAAAACAGACATATCCCGGCGATCTTTTCAAAATAAAGCAGTATTTATCAAGGTTTAGCGAGCTACACAAGTTACATCTGAAAATAAAATGACTTGAAACTTAAAGACAAGCCCTTTCCAGACATTGGAGGCAAACACTGTCGGAAATATGATAGCCAACAAAGACGAAGTTCTCCATCTCTACAGGTAGATGGCGCTACACCATAATCTACTATGACGTCTGAATCTTTTCCTCCACTTTTATGCTCTATTTATCTGCAAAAACATGTCAATTTTGAGCATAACTACGTTCTATGTGCAGAACTGATGTGTGTCAATCTTAACTCGTTTAATCCAGAGAGTGGGAGAAATCGAGAAGAAGCACAGTAAGGCTGCAAATGTAAAGGAAAGGAATCCAGTCTCAGAACAGAGGTCAGATAAGGACACGAGAGATAAACAGTCATGAATGGACCAGGGTTCTCACAAATAGCCTTTGTTTTTATACATTTTTCAGCAAGATTATGAGCATTTAATTAATTTAATCCAACACGCGGAGGTCAAGACTCTCATATCAAGAGGGCAATTTTGGTCCAGCATGTCCTTTGAAAAAGCTAATTTAGTTTTATGATAAATAAATAAATACATTCACTATGGTTTGATTGGTGTATTTGTCTTATAGATTTAAAGCCAATTGTTCACACTTTGTTTATGAAATGTCAGTCTAAGATGGGCCTGTTACTTCTGTTCATCTGATGGTTATATTAATGCAGAACCCTTTTTATTTAACACCAGAAGATGGGGAAAATCGAGGAGGACAAGAAGCATTGATGTCCTGGCAGGTAAAAAGTAGATAACAACCATGGCCTGCTCTCTCGACGATGTTTTATGAAACTTTTCTGCCTTCCTCTTTTTCTCATAGTTTGGTGCTTTTTTATAAGTTAGGTCTTGACAACTTGTAAGTGTTATTTGTTTCTCATAGGAGACACACTAAGCAAGAGGAAATGTTAAAAAGAATACTGATTTATTACATTCTATTTTACATTTTATGAGTTTGTGTGAATGTTTTGTTCTCAATGTGTATGACTTGACAGCCACTAAGCTCTTGTTCTTACTGCACATATCCAAGCTCAATCTGGTGCTTTGTTTCCTGTAAAGAAACCTGTTGCATCAAAATCTGCCTGGCAACTGATGACATAACAACTGTGGCTTCTCTAAATCAACAGCGTTTGTCTAACTAGATGTACTGTAGTGTGTGCTGTAAGTACCTATACAGTATAACATACCCCAACCAGATGAACTCACACATTATATTATTTAGGTGTTATGGTACTATAGCTTTGACAATATGTTGTGTAATTAAGAACATGTGCCGTTGGTTTTCAATTAAAACAATTAATCTGAGAAATGTATTTGCCAGTCTCCTGTGAGCTTCATGTTAAAGATAATTGAAAATACTACAAAATACAAAAGCACTATCAACAATAAGTGATATTATCTCGTTTTTAAAGTATTATAACTTATACCTCCTGGGACCCAGCCCATTGAAAATGTCCACTGTAGTGGACATTTTGTTAACATGCATCTCCTTTTACTCTTTTGAGGTACTCAATCAATCCCTGATGTACTGCACAGAGAACATCCTGGTCTTTCCAGTGATATGTCATTGGTTAAAATTGAATGCTGGGAAGTTCCTCTTTCTTTTCATCCAAAATGGCTGGCATACCAAAAACAACATTTTATAGAAGCAGGAGGAGAAGTCAAATATTGTTGAATAATTGTCATTTGTACCACGATACTCATATATGTTCTTGTTTATTAACATGTGAGGAACTATATAATTAGTTCTGAAAGCAATTAAATAATTCAAGTTTTCAAATAACAGCCCTTTTATAAATGTCCATTCTAGTGGACGTCAGGACCGTCTTCATGGACTTTATGACTCAATATTGTTGCAGGAGACGGAACTGAAGCAGACATTTTCTGTACCAGATAGTTCAGGGAGATTAACATGTTGAGCTCTCAGATGATGAGAGAGATGAGGCTTTCACACCTGGGATAGAAGAGGGTCAAGAAGAAGGGGGGGAAAGATGCAGGATGCTCCATGAGCGCACAGATAGATACATAGAGACAGATAGGGACGAGCTGGAAAGACATGGCCCCCTGTGGGCCAAGAGTAGCACGCATGTCTTATTGTTGTTTTTATTTTAAGTGGAGCCATGGAAAATGAGAATTGCCTCAGGAATGCAAGCTTTGTTTCTATGAGCATGGTCAAATGGAGACCACATCCATAAAACTAGTCAAGATGACCCTACAGCCCGTGCTGACTGGAGTCAATGAGGTACTTTCCCACTACATTGACTACAAAGTCTTTGAAGATCTGGAAAGATTCACCAAAAACCAAACTAGTTTTGTATTGACCAAATAAACAGCAATGTTCAGATCAATTACTTATTCATGTTTTAAATAAAGGTGAATGTATTATTGTATTAATATCACTCTATAACCATAATACGTTACATAGTCTGTTAATTTTGGCTGTCTTTTCAAACTAAAATGGTCCCGACGTCCTCTACAGTGGACATACTGTAACATTTTAAAATAAAATAAAATAAAAAAAGTCTAAATTGCAAGATGTTTTTTTAACCCTAAATAGGTAGGAAATCACAAAAAAAAGGAAATTGGAAGACGCTTTTTTTCCTCGGGTCCCAGGAGGATATATTGTAAAACACCATAGCAGAAATCTCACCACAGGTTTATTTGCAAGTATCATGAGAAGAGGTTTGGCACACTCTGCGTGTTTGTGCTCACTTGATGACGAGCAAAAGAACAAACAAATTCTGTTGTGAGTATGTGATGGGTTTACATTTTTTCTTCCACAGTTTAATATAGCAAGAGAATCTATTTTTTAAAACTACAAAAAAGACTTACCTAACATTGAAGAAGTATGTGGTTGAAACTTAAAGAGGATATTACCCACATGTCAACCTGTTTCCGCTGAAAGCTGAAAATGTCTTGCTTGTATTTACAAAAGCATTTCAATACGTAACATTCTGTATTATTTTTCAGGAATCGTCCACATGAAATTCATCAGAAAGCAATATATCAGATAAAGGGAATCAATGCACAACATGACTGAGTTGACCAACAGTCTTTATTTGGATCTGAGTGTTGTAAAGTATTAGTACAATTATTTTTAGATAGGTTGCATGGTTAGAATAAACTGCAAAATGCATTACATAACCTTATACGTATTAACATACAAAATACCTCCGTTACACACCATAAAGAACAAAAAACAAACAAAACAGGATGACAACATGCTCTTGCAAAGTTCAGCTTCTTATGTAGCTAAATAAATGGTTCTACGCAGCATTTTCATACATACACTACATTTATTGATCCCGGATCAAGAATGCAACACACACTCTTGGAGACAAAGTTGGGTCATTCATTTCCAAAATCAGATGTCAACTATTCGAAGATACTTTTGAAAAAAAGATATTGAAATATTGACAAAATAGGTTGATTTGGGTCAAACTCAGAACATCCCCTTCCTGTAGCGGTGGATCAGCTCGGATACATCCTCCTTACACACCTTTATCCAGCCATCCTCCCGCATGTGGTACACTAGAAAAACACACACAAAACGCAGATGAGCCTCGCATATACATGGTGCCACCAGTTTACCCTAATCAAGTTCTCACAGCTTTATACGAAACATTTAAGGACTATGCAATATGCACGTCTTTTCTCAATCATAATTCTTCTGTGCATGATGTGCTTTATTGTGATAGGTATCAGTAGAGACAAAACAGGAATTATGGGGAGAAAGAGAGATAGGGAACAACATTAGTTATAGGTATACACTGTTATTTGACACATCATTCTTGTTGGCAGTGTTCATTAATTTGATTTCTCGTTCGTTTGTGCAAATTAACACTTTTAACAAGAGTGTACGGATGTGGTTCAGGGTTGTGTGAGAGCGTTCAAATGTCTGTTCTTGTTTATTTTATTGTATTGATTGCTTTGTGTTGCTTGGATTTAATTTGTTTCTGTCTTTCATGTTTTTGTGTCCCTGGATCCGCTTGAAAACTAAATTATGAAACTCTCACATCCTTAAATGAATAATGAAATTATTACCACAAAACAATGGTTGAGGATTATGTCATATTCTTTGAATATTTGGGATGATGAAAAGTCAGAGGATCACAAAATTGTTTAAAATCATCCTGAGGGGGGCGTGAATGCATGTACTGAATTTCATGGTAATCCCTCCAAGAAATGTTGGAATATTGAACTCAAACACAAAATGTCAACCTCATGGTGATGCTAGAGGGAAAGTCTAGGGATCAAGCAAATGCGTATGAACATTCCATTCAATAGTTGTTAAGATTTCTGACTGGAGTAAAAAATCGACCCACTTTACTTACAACCATAGTGTGGCAAAACAGAACAAATTGACAGAGGTACAAGATATACTTTAAGTTAAATATAATATACTCACTGTTGACAAACCCTCCAGAGTAGGCGTCCCTGTGCGTAGCGTGAGCGATGCCCCGGCGGCCCAGTTCATATGCCTCCTCCACCGTACATGTCCTCGCGGTAACCGCTGTCCACCACACCATAGGCGAAAACTGCTGCCACAGGCCGGTAGAGAACATACGGCCGGGACAGACTGGGTCGCGTTATCGTCCACATAGTACAGCCCAGGACCCTGCAGAGTACAGTCATCACATGGTCTGTGGGAAGGTTCACTTCATATACAGGTCAATTATTGAGCTTCACCATTAGTGATATACAAATAATAAAAATAAGACATTACAGTTTAATTTAAGAGGTTTGAGCTGCAGGGCCAGTTGATGGTTTCTGTCCATATGGTTCCTTGTATGCGTCATATTGAAGTGTAATAAACATTTGAATATTTTGTCCTTTTATGTGTTGGATCCCCATGTGATATGTTGTGATTTCTGCATGCATACAAACATTCGACTTAAAACAGTTTAGTATCATTATAAGTCAATACAACAAATGATGATGCTTTCATATGACAGGCATCTAAAAAGAAACAGGAAACATCCAAAGAGCATCCTGTCTCTACAATCTCCTTGCTTTTACTGATTATACAGATTATAATGGTTGCATTGCTGGTTGTGACACACACACACACACACACACACACACACACACACACACACACACACACACACACACTGCTAACCTCTTTGTCCCATCCGCAGATCATGCTTCCCATAGAGAGGCCCATGCCTCTGTAACCCACCATCATGTTAGACAGCAGCTTGGAGGCAGCAGCCACTGAGATCCTGTGGTTGTTCCTCAGCCTGTACAGCCTGGAAGAAGAAAGAAAACAAGGTACCAATCAATTACCAAGAAAATCAATTCACAAATTACAGTAATCAGTCACACCTGTGGGTCAGATTGGACTGAATTTGTGGCTTTCAAGAAATGAACTTGAGACACCTTTATTTTATTTAGGTAGAAGTGTTCTATGAATGTTTTTGTTATAATTGTATTTGTAATAAAATGACAATTACTTATAACACGCATGTATTTACAAGGACCTCAAGTCAAGGACTCTATTGCTTTGAGGTTGAGTTCGTAACAACTGCCTTTCTTTTTGTGACTGAAAAAAGACAAACTAAATCTGAGAGATTACCCCTGTATATTTCTTCGTGATTCATCAGATATTACTTAACTATGAACAAAACTTTGTGACACCTAGAATACAAGCATATACAGAACTAGAACATTACATGGAAAAAGGGACTGAGAAACCATGGTACAAATATTCAAAACTCTGCATGACGGACCTGCATTCTTTGGCAGGAGTCTCTCCCAGTACTGGCAGTCTGCAGCGCTGCCCGACATGGTGCCCAGCAGGTACGGGTTGATCTCTATCACCTTGTTGACATCATTGGATGCTGCAGAGAAAGGAAAGGAGACATTTACAGAACCGACGTAGCCCAGTGAACGCAGCAGTTTTGGTTACCCTGTTGTCTTCATCTACATTTTGTGACCTAATGGTCCATATATTTTATATTCAAAGTCCCTCACCTTATTAAACCCCTCGGGATTTTGAGTTGATGACAATCTCTTTGATATGTTATTTATTAATAACAATAATTCATTTGATTTATATAGCACACTTTAAAGACAACGTAATCTCAAGGTGCTTCACAAAGCTATAAGAAAAAAAGTGAAAATATATCTAAAGGAGCATATTGGATAAAAATATGGCAATATAAAAAAATAGAAATAAAAGGTTAAGAGCATAAAAGGTTTAAAAATAAATAAATAAAGTAAAGGACAGTCAGTAAAATGTGGTGTGGAAACAGGGTGGGGTCTTGAGGCAATTCCTAAAAAACTGAGAGTGATGACTATTATTGGATTGTGACTGATGGATCATGTCACCTTGATTTAATTGAAACACAGGAGCTGATAGATTGTCAGACTGTGAGGAATGACAGTTTTATAATCCACTTTCCACATTCCAGTTTTTTGTGCAGTTTCATTTTGTTTTCAACATTCTCCAGGTTCAGACATGCGTATGTACCTAAGTAGCGGCCCAGCAGAGGCTCTGGAGTCCACAGCCACGATGACTCCATGTTTGAACTTGAAGGCCAGGGTGGTCGTACCGTGGTTCAGGTCTATACACACACCCCCTTCACGGTCGCAGGACTTGAGAAAACCTGATGGCTGAAGTAAACCAAAAGAAAGGTGTCAGTGGGACGCCTCATGTGTAATGGCACTGTATCTGCGTCTGTAAGATAATATTAGTCAATTATCTACCAGAACTAAATATAATTTGACAATACCTCGAAATAGTTAAGTAAATGCATGATATTACATTTCACAAAACGCAGATACTGAAAACCACAGACGCGTAAAATAACTTGATCCACAGGGCGTCTGACGCGTCATGCTTGGGGAAGATTTACCCGTAAGATTCAGTATATTAGAGCTTTTCTACAACTAAGTGAAACTTTACTTACGTCTACACCCACAGGTACAGCGAATTCCTGAGTTTTGGTCCCGAAATTGTAGTGGTTGGTTCGGTCTACGAGATGCGTTTGTCCAGATGGAAGAATCTGTGCACGAAGTTCAGCATAATGCTTAAAACCAGATACTTGGAAAAGAGCCATTATGTATTAAAGATGATAAACTAATTCTGTTTTTTGGTTTCTGTAGTTTTCAAAATGACAAATGCGACTGGCAAAGCGTCAATGATCATTTCCTCGTTCTGTGCGTGACAAAGAATTCGAAAGTGAAAGGGTTTTAAGACTTATTTTTCCTCTGAAAAGACCATGCAGAATTCCTCAATTAATACTGATAGTAATAATACATATCTATATAAAGGTTGTTTTAGCAACACAAAGTTAATTGATCAAAATAAACCCCAAACTCCGAAATATTTATTTTAAAATAACAAAATGTGTCTCAAAAAACGTATAAACCAATCCGAGAGCATTATATGTGTTTCTCATCAGTTGCTACCGGAAAAGCAGCCTCAGGTGTAGGAAAGCCCAGCAGAGATATATTTCGACTTGTGTTTGCATTATTTTATAAAAAATACACAATCTAAACCAGGTTAATGCACAGTTTGACATGTATTTAACAAATTGTGCATTAGCCTATAAACTTTTTACTGGGTATGTTATCATAAGTGTATGGAGAGGATTAGGGTCATTATTAACTTTTTTGAGATCTGACCAAAATGAGATTAAAATCAGAATTCTGTGAGTTAAAGCCCTAATCCTCTTCTGGTGGCTGCTTGTTAAGAGCTTCAAATATAAATCAGCAAATAATTACAAAACATGACAAGAAATGAAGCAAACACAGGTCACAAAGAATTTAATTTAAGATGTTTTTATTTTAATCCTACACTCTAATACAATGTCTCAGTCTTCCTCAATATGGCTTTGGTAGACTCTTTTAATTAAGCCCTGCAGTATACTGAACGATTCCATATCACAGTGAATCATAGCAACAGAGTAAAGAATATATGATGACAATGTAAATCAATGATCTGAGATGTTTTATTCTTTTATTTAACCATGTAGTGAATAACAATGACATGAAATTAAAGCCTTTTAATTTTACTACTAAATGTTGTGATAGCGCTGTGAGGGCTCAGACTGTTTCCATCATGCTGCACGCTCTCCTGTACCACCTCCAGCTTTAAGGGGACTACTTTCTCCGTCAGAACGGAAGTGGTGCCTGGGACGATATCTGTATTTCATTTTCCTAGGAGAGAGAAGGAGAGAGATATATGGTTGAAGCTTTAATCATCACATTCCAAACTATTGTTTTGCTTGTAGTAGAGTAGTAAGTTGTTAAATAATTTAAAAACTGAACATTACATGTGAGTCGCAAGCAAAAACACACACAATAGATAATGAAAAATCACACTGCCAGGAACAGACTCAACATATTTTGTTACTGTCCGAGAAGGAAATCTGATTTGACATGGGTAAACCTAAAATCTTCTTTAAAGTCGTACTGGCCTACCTGCTGTCTTTGTACTCTGACTCCTGGTAGGGTCGGATGTGGTCCACTCCTTCTCTGGTGATGACACAGATGTCGATGTTGTTTCCTGAGGCGAGGTCATTCATGATGCCCGCATGGATGGCAACACGCACCAGCTCCTTCGCCGTATCCAGCTGAGAGTTTAGAGAAAATGATGGGGAAATTAGACAACCAGACACGTTAGAACACGAAGGAGAAGACACGGGCCTTCAGAGACATTTCAACAGTGAGGAGAATTCATTTATTTTTCTTACATTTTCTCAACCGTTTGCATATAATAGAGGCTGATTTGGCCTACATCACTGCAGATACTCAATCACTAAGATCCCCTTTAAGATTGTTTTGTGATTATATTTAAACGATCCCGACTAATAATCGTCACAATATGTAATATGTGGTTTACCTCCATGTCCTGTTGGTACCTGTCCTCTAGAATACCAAGAGCAGCCAAATCACCAGATCCTGCGTGGAAACCAAGTGAAATCAGATAAACAGATTAGATGAAAAAGTAACAAATAACTGAAGAACTTTCAAATATATAATGTAGTATAGAAAAGTAAGTTATAGAATCAAATTATCATAATCTCCAACACTTTTGTATGAAATAAAGCACTTTTTGATCCAGATTTGATAGTCTCTTCTTCTTCGAGTCCGTAGCAATCTCAGATGTCGTTCTGCCAGTATCGGGCACAGGCCACAGCTGATGGGGTAGGTTCTGCCAGGTCTTCTGGACTGCACCGGGGGGCATCGGCACATTCCAGTAGGTGGGACATTGTCTGCACTGATCCACAGCTGCACGTGTCTTCTGTGGTGTAGTTCCACACTTTCATCATCCCCTGTTCCACACGCAGTCTATTAAGTGACTTCCAGGTTGTCCAGCCAAGGTCGTGGCCACTAACGAGGCTTTCCGTTGGTGCTGTGATTCTCTGTCCAGCCATTCAAGAGCTCGTGTGTCTTTGCCATTCATCTTCCAGATGTTGGTCCTTGCTGCTTGTTTGGTTGTCTGGAGGGGCAGGACTGTCTGCACAAAACTGGGTTCTGGATTGGAGCCTGCGTGGGGGTGCTACGTGGCCATGCAAGGGGTGTCTGATGTCTGTCTCCTGTGTTCTCCGTCATCTCTGAGCGATACCCTAGTCGTCTGATGTGCGGGGGAGGGAGATGCCGGCTAGCGCATAGAGGCACGGAACAGGTGTTGTAGGTTAATAAATCTATACAAACTATTGTATTTGTCATTTTCCCCTTTTGTCTTGTTGATTTAATAACAATTTCATACATCAAACTACACATTAGCAACCTAAGAAGAGCATCAAAAAATCTCCACCGGCAAGAAATCCTAAGAAAAGGTAACAGTGATAATGCTGCCAAAACTTGTTGAATAGAGTTATGTCACTTACCCATTGCAAGGTAAGGCACCTTATTAACACTCCCATATGGCCCCACTGTGTATAGATGGTTCCCAGTGCAATCTACTCCTCCCAGTATCAGACTGGCACCGATTTGGCCATGGTACCTTAGGAGCACAGAGATGGAAACATACAAGGACTGATGAACCACCACGTGTCATTCACACATCTCTAAATACCAGTATATGTGTGTGTGTGTGGAACACCAACCTGTACAACATATCCTGTAGTATGTGACCGCCATGACGAGACGAGGGTTCCTCCCGCTGGTCTGAGAGAAGATGGTAAGGTTGGAGGAGGAGAAGCTCTGTGGTCTTCTCTGTATCTGCGGCTGTACCTGCTCCGCAACAACTATGGAGAGAAGAATAATTAGCATTGAGAAGATTGAGAGGGAAAGAATAGATACAAGAAAAAAAGGGAACAGTAGAGTAAAGGATTATTTCTCAAGCCCCTATTTTGCCTAAAGGTTCATAGAATCCACCATACAAAAACATTCCGCAGTAGCCTCAATAGACCACAATGCAATGCAACACATCTTGCAGCTTGAGCAATCTGTCATGGATAGAGTGTTAAGCTCTCTTTTGCATTTTTCACCATTGGACTGTGTACTTTCTAGCCATAACTGATTTGTACGTGGCAAAACGTAATACTTATTACAAGATCACTGTGTAGGGCATTCTGGGATATATAGGGAGTAAAGAAGGGAGTTAATGGTCAAATGTGCAACACACCAAACAAGAGTAACCTTTTTCTGCAAAACAGAGCCTTACTATATGTTAGGAGCAATGTAATGGATCTTTGAACACATCTGTCGGCCAACCACTTCACCGGATGTAGCCCTGGTGTCTGCTCCCAGCACTACGCCATCCTGCACCAACACAAATGGGGATACAACGTTTATTATTCAAACTATATTTAAACAAAATAATGCAGTTGTCTCATGCAATTAAACTTTTTCTACATGTTTGGTTTTGGGGGAATGAATAACAATGTTAATAGTTATATGTATTGCAACTGTACTAAAGTAAATGTCTTGGTGCATTAATATTCAGTAAATTGCATTTTTACACATATTGTTATAGTCACCTTGAACACCACTCCTGCTATGGTGGTGCCTGTTTCATAGGTTTAGGTGTTTGTCCACCATCATAAAGACCCTCTAAGGCAGCCATTCCTAGTGAGATGGAGGGATGAGAGTGTTATGGAGGGGATCAACTGATGAATATACGTTATAATTATAATCACCGTGAAAAATAATCACTACACTGCTTTATGAACTAAACTGATAAACAAGAGGAAAAAGTTACTTTCACTTTTGATCCCGGTGCTCGGCGTAACCGACAGTTTAATGTGTTACTTTCTGTAAAGATACAGTCAGCAGCTCAAAATATATAAATAAGAGACTCATACCTTGCTGCGTGTCGAAATTAAACCCAGGTAAAGGGGTTTCGAGGAACATTTGATAGCGCCATACTGGATACTGGGACTGCGGCTTCTCTGCGCGTCTCAGCTCGCCTGAGGTCGCTGTTCTGAGCGTCACCTCTCCTCTTCTCTTTCGATTTTGGAGTGAAAATGGAGAAGAAACACTGCACGAATCTCAAGTCAAAGGAGTCAGCACAGGGGTGAGTAAATCTGGACCACTCGTATCTTTTTTCTATATAAGAATACCAAAGCCTATTCGTGCGTAAAATGATCGTTATTGTTTTCACGAATAAAAAGGTGATGCTAAACCTTGAATAGTAACACGATGTTAAGTGAAATCGAGTGGACACTTCATGAGTTTTATTATCAGTCTATTGAATACTTGTCATCTTTAAACGTGTTTATTCTTCTACATTCCTGCTAAATCAACAAGTTGGGTTTCACGTTTACTTTATATATCCCGAAAATAATTCATTCGCCAGAACTCCAAATCCAGAGTTCATAGCCTTGTGCAGTGGGCTGATAGGACAAAGAAACCACGAGAATAAGGAAGTGTGTGATGCTGTATAACTCAGTATTTGTGTGTGTGTGTGTGGTGTGTGTGTGTGTGTGTGTGTGTGTGTGTGTGTGTGTGTGTGTGAGAGAGAGAGAGAGAGTGTGTGAGTGTGACATATTTGGCTTAATATAAACTTCTTCAATGTTGAATAATGACAAATTATCTACCTGTCCCCTCAGACCACCATCCTGGCTGCCACCTTTAATGGAGGGGTTGTGATTTGCTCAGATTCCAGGGCTTCCATTGGAGGGTGAGGATGTTGTGACCATAAAATACCCTGAAAGTTGCATTTACTTTAAAACACATTCATACAGAATGAAAGGAGGACAGCTTAATACCATGTATGATAAAGATACACAGTGGATACACAAAGCCAAGCTGTGCACACAAGTAGGATCGTGTGTGGTACACACATCTTTAAATATGTGTTGTACAGATCCATTAATGCAGAATAAAGTTACAATGTGTTTCATTTTGTAAGTACAAAAGGCCAAGTTTTTCATACCAGTTTCAAAACAACGCGCAGTGTTTTCAAATTTCGAAATCAACCCAATCTTCGGTATTTTTCAAGTCAATGGCTTCATTTGCAGATTAAAATGTGTTTAAATATTATGACAACTTCTCAAGACCTGCATGTTACACCTTCCCAGAAATAAACGACATTAATTTGATCTTCAAAGCTTCTTAAACATTGTTATCGTACATGTTCTTGCCTGTGCTACTTTAAACCTTCTCCTCCTCAACTCAGAGTGGAATTATTGTCCTTTTCTTTACTTCATTACATTTTATTTGTCTCTCCTTTAGAGAATATGTTTCCTCTAAGACCATCAACAAGGTGGATTCAGGTTCATGACCGGATCTTCTGCTGCATGGCTGGCTCACTGGCAGACGCTCAGGCCGTCATCAAGGCTGCTAAGTATAACTTGTCATTTCCACAGGTGCGTGCCACACACACACACACCAAATCCAAAACATGGGCACACATCAGAAAACATGCTCATCATCACATTTCTACATTGCATTGAAAAATATATTATTGATACCACAGGATATTTTGGGAGAAAGCAATCATACCAAGATGTGTGCACACAAAACCCCAATCCTATAACAACACACCTACACACATACAATAAACACACTTAACTCACTTAACAATAACTCCATAATCCAAGAAATAACATTCAATATTCAAAGTGTTTTAAACTTTAAACAGCACATAGTTTAACATTTGGCCAACCCTAATCTTTGTTGACCCCCCCCCTTATCCACAGTGTCCAGATGGAGAACCCTCCTCTGGTAATAGCAGCAGCATCTGTGCTGAAAGAACTGTGTTACCACAACAAAGACGAGCTGCAGGCCGGCTTCATCACAGCAGGCTGGGATAAGAAGAAAGGACCACAGGTGGGGGGTGGTTGTGAAGACAGTCAAACATCAGTGATGGTGGGGGGTACACAGGAGCTCCACCTTGCAGCATATAGCAACATTACTGATATTCTCCTTCCTTCTCCAGGTGTACGTCGTGTCTCTAGGCGGGATGTTAGTCCCTCAGCTGGTTACCATCGGTGGCTCCGGCAGCACTTACATCTACGGCTACGTTGACGCTAAATACAAACCCAACATGAGCAGAGAGGAATGCCTACAGTTTGCCACTAATGGTACTGTTTCACTTCTAAATACGTTTATAAAAGTAGGTCAGGAGGTTATATCAGGATTAGAAATGTTTAACAGGGAAATAGTGTTGTGAGTTCATTAACATTTATGTTTGCTTTAATTGAGGTTTAAAAAGTACGACACATTGCACAGAGATTGCTCAGTTGTCTAATTACCTTAGCATGTATATTTAAACTGAAGCAACCTTTATTCACTGGAAATATTCCAGAGTTCAGTTTAGAGGAAATGTATGTTAAATATTCAAGACTATGCAGTGTTCCATAATACTGCCCTTTATGAGAACAAGGCTTATGTTTGCACTTGAGGAAAGGAGTTAAATGAAATCTATGTGTAAGTTCAATTAAAATGTGTTTGTAGTTGTGAGTTGGTGTACAAATGTTACAAACTGAATATGTTGGTACTTAAACATGACCTTTATTTCACCCACTTTTTGTTCCTGTCCTTTTTCCTTCTCTTCCCGCCCTTTCTTCCTCCCTCTCTCCCTGTGCACACAGCTCTTGCTCTGGCCATGGGCAGAGACAACGTCAGCGGAGGCGTGGCTCACCTGGTGGTGGTCACTGAAACTGGGGTGGAGCATGTGGTTGTTCCTGGAAACAAGCTTCCCAAGTTCCATGATGAGTGACGGCCTCTGAACAACCAATTGAAATTACATTTTGTTTGTTTGTAGCTTAATGGAGTAATTATTTGAAATCCATAATTTCATTAGTAGCCTAACTGATATAGGACTGGGATTTAGACAGTGCGTCGGTGTATGACTTGTTTATACAAAATGTATACAAAGCTACACAATTCCACTTAACTCTAAAAATATGAATTCCATTATAGACATCTTAATTATAAATAAGGTTATACATGTCTTCTCTGTGTTGAAACCAAATGTTTTGTGTAGAGTGGTTGTAGCCTACTTGAAGAAATATGTGAAATGAGAATAAATAAATAACACATCTTACAAATTGCATTGTTCTTCATCTCTCTGTCTTTGAGTTGTGTGCTTCAAATGTTATAGTGTAAACTAAAAGTAGTCGTAATTCAACTGCATGTTACATCTTTCCATCTAAAAACTAAATTGTATGTAAACCTGAAAACTCCTTCAGTTGTCAGGTCCTTTGTAATCACTCATTTTAATACTGCACTTGACTTAGGTAAACAATCGTTGTTCTTGTATTTGTAGCCATAAAGTCTAATGCATAGCCTACTTTAAGATAACACTGTCCTTCACATTTCAGTGAAGCGCAGCTGTTTGAAACACGGGTTTACAGTTCGCTGCAGAGGAAGGACAATTTAACTTTCAATTTCGATTTAATTCAGGGAAACATGGAGTCGGTCTGATGAGTGATTGTTGAGTTGATTCGGCACGTCGAGCAGTTTAGAATCTTTAGAGAAAACATCCGACAACAAGAGCGTGTATAGTCTAAAACGCTGCTCGGTTGAAGTTTCCGTGTCAGTCCGGTGTCCCCTTCCCTAGCCGACTAAACCATTGTTGTTGTCGTTACCGGAGTCTCACAGTGAATCAGCATGGAGGCAGAAACAGGGCCCGAATGGTTGTCCGAGGAGGTGAAAACCGGAGTAAGTAAGATTTGGACAGTATTTTTTGACAGATTTTGTAGCCTGTTGTGTATGTGTAACGTGCTGAAAACCTGTTTTATGTCAGGCCAACTGCCGGCCACATTGTTATGCATAGAATGAATTGTAAATAGCCTATGTATCGATTTTACCTCTGATTACAGACCACAATCATTGCCATAGAGTTCAAAGGAGGGGTCGTGCTGGGGTCTGATTCCCGAGTGTCTGCAGGGTAAGTTTGTACACTAACTCAGCTAAAACACACGTGATTGCTTCACTTCTCATGCAGAATCCTTCCACCTCTCCATATTTCCTCACATGCAGCTTCTCATTTTATTTTGGATTAGATACAACACTGTCATTGTCTCCATAATATACAGTTTAGCATCTAACCAGAAGTGCAAAAGTAAACTGCAGGTTAATGTAGCCAAGTATAGTGATAATTTAACAAAAACAGTGAGGGATTAACAATGGTGGAAGAAGCACTCAGATTTGTAATTTAAGTAAAAAAAAGTACTTTGTTACAAGTCAAAATCCTGCATTCAAAATCTTACTTAAATTAAAGTATTAAAGTATCGTTATTAAAATATACTTTCTGCTCTGCCACCTCTCTGCATGTGGTTGTGTT